GGAGCCCGGCCCGGAAGGCCGTGGTCCCTGCTGTTCCTCGACTGTCCCTGTCCCCCTAATGCCACCCCTGTGGTCCCTGCCTGGCCCCATTCCTTCTTTCTGTCCTCCAGATCTTCTCACTGTGTGGCTCTCTTGTCGGTTCCAAGGTTGCCATGGCCTCATGGACAAGAGGGGAGGTGTTGAGGGTGAAGGAGGGTCTGCGCAAAGAGCCCTTGAACAATGGCAGCTTGTGTGGGGCTGAGAGAAGGAACTGGGTTCCCAGGGTGGCCTTGGTTGCGGTTCGGAGACCTGAACTAACAGCAGGGAGTGGGGGCAGGGAGGACGTTCTTGGTATTCGGGGCATGGCAGGTCCTGGGCTGTGGGGAAAGGCTGGCTTCTGTAGTTCTGTTATGCTGGTGGGAAATAGTCCTTCTTTCCCTGCCCTCCTCACGCCTCCTTGTGTGCCTGTCCCGACCCTGCAGCTGTGCACGTGCACCCCGCCAGAGGCTGTATGTCCCCAGTAAAACCAGAAAGCAGTGGGAGAGGTAGACAGAGGGGGCTCTAGGAGGGGTGTCTGCACAGAGTGCTGTGGAAGCAGAGAGGAAGCAGCTCAGGACATGGCTGGGCCCCAGCAGGGGTGGCATTTGAATATCGAAGGACACGTGGGCTTTATCAGCTGGAGAGATAAAGGTGGTCACTCACGTGGTTTGCAGGGTTAGAAGAGCCAGCATCTCAGGCGGGCACGTCAGTGTGGCTGGAGCAGGGGGAGCAAAGGCCCCGTAGATGGGCCTGCAGAGGTGGGTGGGGCTGTGTTGTGGAGGGTCTGGGGCTGTAACCCGCCCGATTGGCCAGTAACCCCAGGAGATCGTGGCCGGTCACCCTGCTGGATGGGAGGACGTTGCTGAAGGCAGGGACTCCCTTGCTGGCCCTCCACACCCCCATCCCCACCGGCTGTACCCCTGTTCCCTCCCGAGGCTCTGCCCCACACTGCCCTGCTCTCTCGTCCTGTGCCAGGCCCGCCTCTGGCTCCTGGGTCTGGGGTTCAGTCTGGGCTACGGCTCCATGTTCACTAAGATCTGGTGGGTGCATACGGTCTTCACGAAGAAGGAGGAGAAGAAGGAGTGGAGGAAGGTGAGCTGCTTGCTGTTCCTCGGCCCTCAGGTCCTTGGCTCCCGGGGCCTAGAGGGCTTCTTCCGACTGGCCTGTGCTCTGTTTGTGCAGACGCTGGAGCCCTGGAAGCTGTATGCCACGGTGGGCTTGCTGGTGGGCATGGATGTGGTCACTCTCGCCATCTGGCAGATTGTGGACCCCCTGCATCGAACCATTGAGGTACAGGTTGGGAGGAGGTACTGAGGCCAGGGCCGAGTGGGGCTCGCTGGTGTGTGGGCTGAGTACGGTCTGGAGGCGCGCAGCCACTCGTGGGAGAGCGCTGTCCAGCATCGTGCTCCGGTGCCCCGAGGTTCCTTGATGAAAGCGAGTAGTGGGGAGCCAGGAGGGATGTGTAGACCTTCCAGGCATGTGGAAAGCTGGGGTTCATGAAAACACCCCTGGGCCTAGCACGGGGCCTGGCATCAGTATCCAGGGTCTCCTAGAAAAGGGGGGGCAGGGGTGGGCGGGAGGGTGACTGCCATCTTTCTGGTGGCCCAATTTCTCCACTAGACTTTTGCCAAGGAGGAGCCGAAGGAAGACATTGATGTGTCCATCCTGCCCCAGCTGGAGCACTGCAGCTCCAAGAAGATGAATACGTGGCTTGGTGTGTGGGCTGTGGGGGAGGGGGTGGGGCAGGGACAGCGGGCTGGTGGGGACAAGGGTCTTCGGAAGAAGAGTGTCCTCCTCTGTGTCATTGCACTGATCCTTTCTGGGGATGGGGGAGAGTTGGACTGTTTCCAGGAGGAGCGGGGGGCTAAAGCAGGGGTGTGGCGGAGGGACCAGGGGGGATGGCCTGACCCCTTCCGTCTGGTCTGCTCCCTATAGGAAGACCAGAGCTGTGAGGGCCTGGGGCAGGCCCCTTTTGGCCTCCTGAACATTGCTCTGGTCTTGTGGTTTTACCACAAAGGGTAAAACATACCCTCAGCCTGGAGGGTGAGGGGGTGAGACATTGTGTGGCCCCGGGGCTGGTGGATAGCTGCTGTCAGCAGTCATCCACTTGTGTCCCAGGAGGAGGTGGTCAGGTGGTCAGGTTGGGGGATGCACAGAGATGGCTGTGCTAGGTCAGAGGGGCCGACGGGAGGGGAGCCCTGTTTGCAGTAGGTGGGGGGTGTGGGCGGAGAGTGGACGCAGGGGTGGACGCTTGGAGGGCTTGTTGCCCATGTGACCGATTCCTGCCGTTCTAGGCATTTTCTATGGTTACAAGGGGCTGCTACTGCTGCTGGGCATCTTTCTTGCCTATGAGACTAAGAGCGTGTCCACCGAGAAGATCAACGACCACAGGGCTGTGGGCATGGCCATCTACAATGTGGCGGTGAGCCTCAGCACCTGGCCCTGACCCCAGGGGCTGCCTGGGGTCAGTGGGTGCAAGTCTTAAATAGTTTTTAATGCCCCAGGTTTGCCAAGCACTTTACAGTTGGTAAAGCACGCTGCAGACACTGTCTCATTAATCTTCCTGTGACCGCCCATGAGGCACACGGTACTGTCCCCACTACACGGGCGAGGAAGCAGAAAGGTTAGATGGCTTGTGTGTGGTTCCCTGGCCAGGTCGGCTTGCCACCAGGTGTGGGACACTCGGGGACTGAATGTGTGTGATGGTAGCAGGAGAGGCAAGGGCTGACCTAGAGCCCAAGAGGGTGGCCTCACATTTGGGCCCCTATGGCAGGGTAGCTGTGCCAGCATGTGTCCTCATGGGCCGTGCTGGGGGAGGAGAGCCCGGAGGTCCCAAGCTCGTTCGCCCGCAGGTCCTGTGCCTCATCACCGCCCCCGTCACCATGATCTTGTCCAGTCAGCAGGACGCCGCCTTTGCCTTCGCGTCCCTCGCCATAGTGTTCTCCTCCTACATCACTCTGGTGGTACTGTTCGTGCCCAAGGTCAGGCTCCCCCCGGCCCCCGCCCCCCGCGGTCTGGCCCGAACCGGCCTTCATCCTGGGCCTCTGCTCCCTGCCCCCCTGCCCCCCTCGTGGCCTCCCCCGCTCCGCCCCA